AGGATAAAGACATCTACAGTTGGGTTTAACTGTATCTTCACCGAAATGATTCAATTGCCTCCACCTTTCAGGAACTAACTCCATGATATGCAAGTACAAACTATAACATCTTTCTCTCTATCAATGAAGACAGATGGAGGTCGTGACCACTGTGAGTGGTGGCCTAACCTCATGTAACCCTGCGTTGGTGGTTGTGCTCATAGGGCTGGAAATATCAAATCTGAGGTCGAAATCTTAGGCAGAGAGAGGGAAGCAATGGCAGGGTGGCGGCGATGGAAGAACTGCGACAGGCGGCTCCAAGTGAAGGAGAGAGAAGGATAGACATGGAAATTGAAAAGGCAGGGCAAAGGGAAGAAAGAAAGAGGATCATAAAAGGAAAAAAATGATAAATATGCATGAGCCGTCTAAAGTACATATATATGGGATGATATATAGATATATCAAAGGGCTAATTACAGTTCAGTTACTGCAGTTATATTTGACTGTAGAGAATCCCAATTTGTATAAAAGATATGAATTTTGGGATTAGATGCATGGACTCTTTTCTCTTTTTCGTGGAACCCATTTTCTTATTCTAACATATGAATGAGTTTGATTTCGGTAATGGGAGAAGCAAGAAAAATCACTAGCATTGAAATGGAAGCCGCAATGTTTTGTAGCTAGGGCAAACTAGAGTGTGGCTCACATATGCGGATGAACTTCTGCTTGAGGGCCGTCATGTGCTCGCTCTTGGTCATGCGGAAGTAGTAGTCGGGGAACTCGTCCTGGTACATGCAGTTCGCAGGGTTCGCCGTCCCAATGGCGAGGATGGTCGCTGGTCCCTTGGCCCGCTGGTTCTCGCGGATCTTTTCGACGGCACCCATCTATCTCAGACCTGTGTTTGGGACTTTGGAACTTCAATGTAGCCCGTGATTTGTGGCGAGGCTATATTGAAGTTCAAAGTGAAGCTGAGACCGCAACTAGTATATCTGTGAATTTTTGCAGCCTATTTGTCTCGCTTTTTATAAATAAAAGTTGGCAAGCACGCGCTTGGTTTGAGACAACGACGTTCCATATATTATTGTTTGCATAAAATAGGTGTCTAATTGAATTGTATAGACCTGTCTTTCTGCTCTGAGGATCTTTAATCACTGGAAGCAGAAGCATCTGATTAATTGGCTTCTAGTGGAACGCTGCCGACAAGGACCAGCTTTGGTCATTTAAAGATATTGAGTTCGATAGCCGAGTCAAGAGATATTTTTACTTTTATGAAAAATGATACAAATAATTTTTGAACTTTAACCTAATATGTAATATAATTCCTGAATTTTTAATTTGTTCAATGTGATCCTGAATTGTAATTCAATGTGTAATGTGATCCTTGTATTTTCAGTTTGTTCAATGTGGTCCCTAGACTTTTGGTACATGTTCAGTTTAGTCTCTGAATTATGTGAAAATATTTAATATTATCCCTTAACTTGAATTAATGGAATGGCAACATTGAACATTTCATTTAGTTCATGAACTAAGTTGAACAATTACCAAAAGTCCAGGGACCGCATTGAATTTAGGGACCATATTAACAAATTAAAAGTTCAAGAACCACGTTGCACATTGAGCCAAAGTTAAAAAAATTATTTATGTCATTATCCCTTACTTTTATTAGTGATGAGGCCTTATTATTATAACATGAACTAATTACAACAAAAATTCCACCAAGAAGTATTACGAGACCGATAATTGTTGAAAAATGGGCCGGGTCTTTGCAACAATATCAGGACACGAGAAAATGAAATTATCATAGAAAATAAAATGAGGAACAATAATAGATAACAGAAATTTACGTGGTTCGATCCGAATGTATGACCCTAGTCCACGAAGAGAGCCAATAAATAACTCATTAATCAATCGGAGAAATATAATGTTACAATCACTTGAACATTCGTGTATTTCTCACGTCTAGATTAAGTCCCATACCCACGGTGTTTTACCACACAAATCTCGCTCTGCCAATGATTGTAAAAGGGCCTAGGTACCCTCCAAGAACAATGGTTGCTCTGCTCTCTCTTCTATAATTTTCGCCATTGACTTGCTTTTGCATGTGACCTTGTCTCAACTTCTTGTCATCCTCTAATGCTGACCTTTCATTTTACGGTGATAAAATAGAGTAGGGTATCTTGTGTTCCCCTAAGTCAATAAACGCCAAGCAGGTCTCCATCTTGTGGCTCCCTCCCTCTATAAATGCCGAGCAGAGCATGAAATTTTAGTGAGATCACTACTAATTATTTTAAAATTTTAAATTATTAGATGAAAATGTAATTTAATATTTAATTACTCTAATACTATTTCTCGCGCTTAGCCTGGTCTTTTTACCTAGCACTAAGCATGGATATATTTAATTGAAAAGGCAAACGGGACTTGAAAAAATTTGAACTCAAGATCTCCAGCTATGATATCATGTAAAATTTTGTTAAAGCCACTGCCAACTATTCTAAAAACTTAAACTGTTAGATGAATGCGTGATTTAATATTTAATTACTCTAACACAGAGTAGGAAGATTAAAAGAGTAAACACGTTCTCTTCTCAATTTCTTCATCTTTCGACGAGCGGGGCATGCATGCATAGCGCATTCACAGCACAATTTCCAATACCAAACAGATTTCTATAAATCTGCATGGACTTTCTTAAGGGACAAAATGTGGGCTATGTTAGAAGGTTATAAAATGAAAGAGTAGATCATCTGTGAGGATCAATAAGAGTGGATCCTCGAAATGGAGGGTTTATCGTGCCACCAGCCACAAAATGCGGTGGTTGAGCCATGCGACATGGCGGGGCAGTGATGAGCGGTGTGCCAACGAATAGAGAAGACAGAGAGGGTGGGTTGTGTCTGTGTCTGTGTTATGTGGTGATAAGGATGGGCGCGGGGAATCCATCCCTGCGGGGCTCTGCCCCAGTGGGGAAATTATCCATTGGTGTTTTGCTCCACAACAATTGCTGTTGTATCAACTTTACGCTTTTTCTGGTAGCAGCGCTCCTTCTTGTTGTGCCCTTTATCAACCACAATAAAAAGCAAAACTTATCCACTTGGAATGCGCTATTGTTGCCAGGCTTGTTAAAGGTTTTTGGTGTCAATAAATTTCCTCTTGTTTCGCTTGTTATTTTTTTGGTCTCTGCTCATGTTGTCATTCTCAACAAAATGCACATTGTTTGCAACTTCTTTCACATTCGCCACAGATCTGGGCGACGGTGAGGTCGGGCGGCCATGGCGAGGCCGCTCGACCTCGCCCACGTTTGGTAATGAGCCACGTATTTAGCCACGTAGAAAGTTTCGATGCCATATCGGACTTTATTTTATTTTCGTGGCTAAATACGTGGCTAATTAGCCACGAATTTTGCCATGAATTTAATCCGTTCTTAGCCACGTATTTAGCCACGAAAATAAAATAAAGTCCACGTATTTGGCAAGAGGAGGTGGTTTTTGCTGGAAATAGCAAGACCTTGCCTGTGAAAGCTTTGGCAGTTTAGGATTCCTATGAACGTTGTCCTTAGTACAAGCAAATGGGTCCTTATTTTTATGTCTCTGATCTCTCTCTCTCTCTCTCTCTGGCCCAACATTGGGACTTGCATCCGTGGGTGGAGGAGAAGTATAATTGTTCTTGAATCTGCTCCACTGAAGTTTTGTATTACTAAAGCGTGATCAGATCTTGTTTTTTCTTCTTTCCTATTAAATTTCTTTCTCAGTATCTTTGTTGGTTGATGACATTGCTCGGATGATAAGCAAGAAGAGCGCTTTAGTTGCATTTCTGACTGTTCATCATTATTATTAAGACATAATAGTTGAGGCCAGTCAATGTGCTTCTCGTGTTGTTTGACTTTGAGCTAAAAGAGTATTTTCCAGATCTCCCTTTCGGCGCTGCGCTCCAGCTGAGTCGTGCTCTCCTTTTCCTTGCACCAGTGGGTGTTTAACGTTCGAATTTTTCGTTCTGGTATTGCATATATATGCATGGTCATCAGAGGAAGAGCTTGCTGAGAAGCAAGAGGTCTTCTTTTTCTTCTTCTTCCTATGGTACTTTGTGGAGCAGCACTGCAGATCTTGGCACGTGGTGAAAGTAAATCGTTCATGGGCTTATTATTAGCTTATGAAGTAAATCGATCACGGGTGATTCACAAAACACTTTCTTGGTCTTTTCTCGAGCAGATTAGGTACAATAAAATTTTTGGAGTCATCAATCATGGAGACAAAGTTTAATACAAGGGAATGTCCTGCCTGGTTCTTATGGGTCATGTCCTGATCTGGCCGGCACCATGCTTTGATCAAATGGGGCACAGGGAGAGGGAGAGAGATGAGTTTGTAATAGTTGGCAGATGAGATGGATGAGGGAAATTAATGAATGTAGGTGAGGCCAACCATATATTAAGGAGTGGGTGGAAGTTGGGGGTTGTAACGACCCGGTCCGACGAGGGCAGGGAATGGTCGCCGAGGCCAGAGGGCCTGGACAAGGAGCGGCTCCTGGCAGGCTTCTAGGATGGCAAGGGGGGGCATGTCTCTTGTCCCACATCGCTTAGGGGGGGAGTCATGGGCTAGTTTATAAGGCTTGGGTTCTCTACTCTGTGTAACGCGTTTTAAAGCCGTGAGGGTCAGTGGGCTCAAAGCGGACAATATTACACAGTGTAGACCCCGGGTCCTTTGAAATGGTATCAGAGCCGACTCCCGACCGCGTGTGGGGCCACAGCGAGGACGCTGTGCTCGAAGGAGGGGAGAATGTAACGACCCGGTCCGACGAGGGCGGGGAGTGGTCGCCGGGGCCAGAGGGCCTGGACAAGGAGCGGCTCCTGGCAGGCTTCTAGGATGGTAAGGGGGGGCATGTCTCTTGTCCGGCATCGCTTAGGGGGGGAATCATGGGCTAGTTTATAACGCTTGGGTTCTCTACTCTGTGTAACGCATTTTAAAGCCGTGAGGATCAGTGGGCCCAAAGTGGACAATATTACACAGTGTAGACCCCGGGTCCTTATAGGGGCAATTAAGCCAAGCTATATCTGCCCTATTGCTATTGACATTTGCTTGGCTTGCCTCAGCTTCAACTGCATTCTTCTCTTCCCTATTGATGGAATAGGATTTCATTAGGAACAGGTTTCTTATCCTTATTTAATAACTTGGCATTTGTTTATTCATTCTTCAGAGGAGGATCAACCCTCAAGTTTATCTCTTGCTCTCTAAAACAAAATGGTAAGGTTCATGACGTACGTCATTTTGTGTCCCTAATACATGTTCATATTTTTTAATATATTTGTCTAACATTCTTACTTGTCAGTATAAACGTGGAGGTCACATGCGTGGTGCGGTATCACAAAGAAGACCAGCCCCTTCCCCTTCCCCTTCCTCGTCCTCGTCCCCGGCCCTTTCCTCTTCTCCTGTCCTTTCATCTAACCCTCAACCACTACATGTTGATGGACAACATGGACACATTGGCCCATCCTCCGAACCTCAAGAACATATTAGGGGACAACTTGGAGACATGCGAACTGAATTTACTTGAGTTCCATCTCCTTCGATTGCATGTCCTTCGGTTCCACCTTCTTCTTTAGTACAACACTCGAATGTTGAAGAAGATAGCCGATTCATGATATGGCCATGTGGAGATTCGTAAGTACTTCATTTTTTAACGTATATGTAAATTATGGATGTCAACTGAATTGTCTATGCTGCAAATTATCCGTATGCTTCATTGTTTCATTGTCCATATTATTATAACCTGTTTGCAGATTCACGGATGCCACCTATGTTGTGAGGGAACTTAATAAAATAGTCAATAACTGTTGGATGGGGCAGTATATTAGTTTCAGCAGCGCTCCAAAAGAAGTAAAGAATTTGTGGTGGAATGAGTTCAAGGTAAGTTTTGTCATTCTATTTTATCACAAACTAAGTTCGGTGTAGCATACTGATGGTCAAGAATGAATTTTGTCACGAATTATCTGGTGCATGGTAATGGATATGTAACATGTGACCCTCATAATAACTTTCGGTTGTTTTTGTATTGATTGTAGCGGAAGTTCAGGTGGGATGAAATGGAAGAGAATGAAGTTAGAAGAATTTTTAAGAAGAAAGCCGGTGATCACATGCGAAATGTGATGAATAAAGCAAAGAGAAATCAACAAAAGCCGGATTTTATTAAAGCTGACAATTGTATGGAAATTACGAGAACTTGGGAAACTGAGAAGCACAAGCAAATAAGTGAACAGAATAAGAAGAATCGAGCTTCTAGTTCTAGTGAATGGTCTGCGTCAGCCACATATGCTGGGGGCTCTATCAACATCGGGGAGCATAGAAAAAGAATGGTAAGTTTATTTAAATATGTTGTAAGTTAATTTAATTCAATGATTACTCATTTATGTTTATATTTTGTAGGCAGATGAATTGGGAACGGAACCGACATTTACAGCTACATTTAAACGCACATTTCAGAAAAAAGACAAGATGTGGACTGGCGATCCAGCAAAAGCTATTAAGGTATGTAAGGTTATACTTTGGACTTTATGGAAACTATAATGAAAACCATGAATGCTTTTAATACTTATGGTAGTTATATATATGAATTTATTTTATTTTCATCTATATTGTTAATGTAGGAAAAATATGATGAACTTTTAATGAGCACTGCTAGTAGTGGTGATGGTGGTGATGGTGGTGATGGTGTTGCTGCGTCTGAGCCATCGGTTGACAGTATGGCATTATGGCTGGAGGCATCGGGTGGGATGAAAGGAGGAAAAATATTTGGGATGGGATCCTTGTCAAGGGCATACACAACGAAGGCTGCTGCAACTTCATCCTCCAATGCGGCTATTTCAAGGAGGACACAACATGAGGAGCAAATGACCCAAAAATTGAGCCAACTGAAAGATTTACTTGTACAAAAGGACGAAGAATTCAAGCATTTACTTGTACAGAAGGACGAAGAAATGAGAGGAATGAAACAACAAATGCAATTGATCTTGCGACACCTCAACCTCGATCACGATGAGGTTCCTCCTGTACCTCCCACTAATCCAATAGGTGATGGGCACAATGATGAGCCACACAATGATAATGAGATTGCTGCTGATGATGATGATGATTTTATTAGCAGTCCTTGCTAGTTCATTCTCTTCGGGGGTAAGCTTATGAGGACCAACTTACAACAATTACTTTCTGTTGAGATCATATTGACCAACCTATGCTTATTTGGAGCTTTTCTTTGTGCAGTATGTAGTTCGAGATATTAATTTTACACTTTTCCAACATTCAATATTGATATTGCATTTTCTGACAAAAAAAAATATTGATATTACATTTTTTAGTTGAAATATCTCCGAACACTAATGGAGTAGTAAACTGTTGAATTGCTCGATTCAGGCGATTGATTTTCTGAATTCTTTTGTAATTAGGATTCCTTACTGTCCCGTGGCTATGAGTATTTACGCATTGATGGTACCACAGGATCAAGATAGTAAATGTAAGTATTTCGCTAATTTAGATGGTTGATGTCTGGCTTGTAAATTCAGCATGCTTATGTACTATTCTCATCTTATGAACTTAGGATTTCCAAGAAGGCATTGGAGCACCTATATTTCTCTTGACATCTCAAGTTGGTGGTCTAGGCCTCACCCTTACAAAAGCAGACCGTGTGATTGTTGTCGATCCAGCATGGAATCCAAGGTACTACTGCTTATTCGATTGTCGGCCATGAATTCAACTACTTTTGCAAGCACATGAAAGAGGAAAGAAGAAAAGAACTTCTTTTTTCTGTTATATTGTAAGGGCATATTCAATGCCATTCCTTTATTATGGGACTATTAACTGTTCCACAACTTTTAAGTACGAATCTGTGTACTGTTTGAGTTCTAACCCATACTTGTCATGGGTAATATCATTATGGTAGATGATACAAGTTCTTACCCAACTTTAAGCTTCACGCTGCTATGCTAAATAATATTTCATGGTACCAATATCACTGAACTAATGATGCAAAGACACATGTAAGGAACATCATGTCAGCCTTGACTTGATCTAATCATCAATTTTGACGCAAGTTAATTTGATCCCCCCTTAGTTGACTCATAAAACAATATGACGGAGCAAAAAACTACCATTTTAGTGATATAATCTTATGTTGTTTTTAGCATACTTCCTGGAAGGGAAGGTACTTTCTTGACATTAACTTCTACTGTGTACTTGGAGAAACTCATTGCACAATACAAGTTTGTGCTTACATTCGCTGTTATTTATTTTCTGATGTCCTAATAGTGTCAGCACTTACCGCAAATTCTTTTGGTTCTTTGGTAAAAAAAGGTGTATTTATTACTTTAAACCTATGCTTGGTTTTGTTTGGGGGGGGGGGGGGGGGTGCAATTTTTCCCATCCGTTTTCCCTCCCTTCTTTTCTCAAACATAGCTTAGACATTTTGTAGCTATTTTCATATATGAGTAAAGAAGCAGATCTTGAGCATATTTCTGTTAGTTTACGTGTGCATTTCTTATTGACAGTACGGATAACCAAAGTGTTGATCGCGCCTATCGAATTGGACAGATGAAAGATGTCATTGTGTATAGGTTGATGACATGTGGAACTATCGAGGAGAAGATATACAGAAAGCAGGTTTTGTATTGTTCAACTATGCTATGGTCTCAATTGGTGCAATGGAAAGATATTTTCGGGGCTTGTATGCAATTTAAGATAAGAGAAATGACTTAAGAACTGTTATGGTAAACAACGTTATTATCATGGAGCAGATGTTACTATGAAATGCTACAATCAGGAGCCTTAGGTGTTTCACTAGAATTCTTTGGCTTTCGTGTGTTGATGAGCACAAACGATGCATGCCTCAGAAGTACTGGATATATCTGCTACTCCATTTGTCACTGCACGCGTTATCAAATGAACAATCAAGACAAGATTTCTTTTCTAGTTTTCTCATAAAAAGATAGTATCTTATATAATGCATTCGCATTTGTTCTTTTATGAGTGAGTGGCTCACTATATTGTATAAGTAGTGTATTGCAAACATGCAATACTTTCTCAAGGGCATGGAAACCACATGGGACGGAATGTGCCATGATACCCGTCATTTTATTGTGGGGCGTAAATTCGGAAAATGTGCTGATTCGGAGGGCTGTTTATGTTGGAACTCCACTATTGTAGATTCTTCTCGGAGCTACAGTACCTCCATCATCACGCAGCAATTGATTCAAGCATAGGCCTTAATCAATGTTAAATATATATTTTAGCAATTAATTTTGCTGCTAATTAGATTTAAAATCGAAATCGTCCCTAAACAATAGTCGTCGCAAACTTACTGACAAAAAAAAAATTTCCTGGCAAATTAGCGACGAATTTTGCCACGAATAGATTTCGTCGCAATTTAGCGACAAAAAAAAGCGTCTTGGCAAATTAGCGACAACTTTTGCCACGAATACAGTTTCGTGGCGAATTAGCGACGAGATTTGCCATGAATAAATAGCGACGAATTTTGCCACGAATACAGTTCGTGACAAAATTAGCGACGAATTTTGCCACGAACCATATTCGTGGTAAATTAGCGACGAATTTTGCCACGAATACAGTTCGTGGCAAAATTAGCGACGAATTTTTCCACGAATAATTAGCGACGAATTTTGCCACGAATACAGTTCGTGGCAAAATTAGCAACGAATTTTGCCACGAATAATTAGCGACGAATTTTGCCATGAATACAGTTCATGGCAAATAGCGACGAATTTTGCCACGAATAATTAGCGACGATTTTTGCCACGAAATTTATTCATGGCAAATTAGCAACGATTTTTGCCACGAATAAATTAGTCACGATTTTTGCCTCGAATTATATTTTCGTGGCTAATTTAGCGACAAAAATTGCCACGAATTTTTTTTCGTCGCAATTTAGCGACGAAAATTGAAATTTTTTTGTTGCAAAAATTTGCGACGCCGAATTAGCCACGAATTTTTTTTCATGGCTAATTTTGTCGGAAATTCTTTTAGCCACGAATTTTTCTAAATTTTTCGTGGCAAAATTCGTGGCTAAAACCTTGTTTTTTTGTAGTGATTATTAGCCTCATGTTCACAAAAACCTTCCTCAATTCGAATGTGTCTTATCCAATTATCCACATTTAGGTTTTCAGTCGTATGGAGAAGTTTTTTTCGATATTCATTCCAAGTTTCTTTCGATAATCATTCCATCCCTGTGGGACTCCGCCCTAGTGGGGAAATTATCCATTGGTGTTTTGCTCCACAACAATTGTTGTTGTATCAACTTTACGCTTTTTCTAGTAGCGGCACTCCTTCTTGTAGTGCCCTTTATCAACCACAATAAAAGCAAAACTTGTCCATCTGGAATGTGCTGTTGTTGCCAGGCTTGTTAAAGGTTTTTGGTGTCAATAAATTTCCTCTTGTTTCCCTTGTTATTTTCTTTGTCTCTGCTCATGTTGTCATTCTCAACAAAATGCACATTGTTTGCAACTTCTTTCACATTATTAGCCTCACGTTCACAAAAACCTTCCTCAATTCGAATGTGTCTTATCCAATTATCCACAATTAGGTTTTCGGTCATATGGAGAAGTTTCTTTCGATAATCATTCCAAGTTAATTTTGAAATAATTATAACAACTTGAAGAGATTTAGAAACTTCAATCATAAGGTCTTTGAGTTTGGCAACATATATTTAAAGTTTCCCCACTTGCTTAGAGACAGTCCATTAATCATGTTAAATTCAAATAATTTCAGAGCAGTAAATATGTCGGTACCTTGTTTGTCAATATTGTATTTGGTCTCCTAGGCATTTCAAATGTCTCTGGGATTTATGTAAGATCTAAAAGTTTCATATAGACGATCTCACAGAGCATTGAGAATCCTTCCTCGGCACCTCCTTTCACCATCCTCACGCCTTTTCCTTGTAGCTTTGATTTCATCAGAATCATTATCCTTGATTGTATTATCAAACTTGTATGCGAAAAAAGAAGAAGAGAAAGTTACGAAGAAGAACTTATTGTTTTGAACAGTTGTGATCAACAATGTATGATTTGGTGCTATTTACATACCACTTTTCTTGGGAATAGGTATCTTATCTCAATCATCACCACTTTTCATGATCAACCATCACTTATTTTCATATTAAAATATTATCTCTTTTCATGTCCAACACTCACACTTCTTTTAATGATAACTATGTCAACAATTGGAGAATGGATTACATATGGCCTTGGGCTGAAAATGGAAAAATTACCAAAACAGTCCTAAACCTATTGCAATTGTATCAATTCAGTCATAAACCTTTTTTTTTTGCCAATTTAGTCCTATCCGGCCAATTTTGGCCAGTCAGTGCTGACGTGGACACCATCCAGTGCTGGCCGTCCGGCCAACATTGACGTGATAATTTTTAAATATATTTTTTTCGAAATTTTTTATTATTTTTTTGTCTTTCCCTTTCTTTTTTTTTCCTTTCATCTTCAACCTTTAACCGATCGCCGGACCAATGACCGGCCAGAGGCTGGGGTCAGCGAGGTCAGTGCCACTGGCCTCGCCCAATGACGGCGAGGTCGAGCGAGGCCGACCTCATAAGTTGCCGGAGAGGATGGCCTCGCCTGACCTCACCAGCGACGTTGCTGGGCAAGGACGAGACCTCACCAGATCTGGGGAGGCTCGTCCTCGCCAACAACTGGCGAGGTTGGTCTTGCCCAGTAACGGCGAGGCCGACCTCGCCGTTGCGACGTTGTTGGGCGAGGACGAGACCTCGCTAGCCGCTGGCGGGGTCTCATCCTAGTCGTTGTGACATTGCTGGGCAAGGATGGCCTTGCCCAACCTTGCCAGATCTGGCGAGGCTCATCCTCGCCGTTGCAATGTTCTTGGCGAGGCTCGACCTCGCCGTCGATAGGCGAGGTCAACCTCGCCGGCCCCAGCCTATGACCGGTCGCCGGTTCAGTGATCGGCCAGAGGCTGGGGTCGGCGAGCGGCTAGAGGTTGAAGATGAAAGGAGAAAAAAAAAAGGGAAAGAAAATAAAAAATAAATAAATAAATTTTGAAAAAAAATAAAATAAAAATTTAAAAAATTGCCACGTCAACATTGGCCGGATGGACTGAATTGGCACAAATACAAAAGGTTTAGGACTGAATTGGCACAATTGCAATAGATTTAGGACTATTTTGATAATTTTCCTGCTAGAAATGATAGATCTGAACGATGTGGCTGGAGGGATTTTCTTGAATCCTCCCTTTCCTATGTCTCTGCAACTTAGCGTAGTGTTTCTTCGTGAGCTTAAATGCAATGTGACGGTATTAGGAAGTTGGCACAAGAGGGAAAAACAATGTTATTGGTGGGAATTTCACGAAATGGTTTAAAATGTTCCAATATCAATGAGTAGCCAAGAAAAATTCCATCTTCTGTAGTTTCTTGTGAAGATTGTTGAAGGACAAGGAGCTCATGAGACAAAAACAAGCCGGGTGGTCACGTCAATCGCAGTGCGAAAATTACATGTTTTACAACATTAAGATGCAATGGCTCTATTGCGTGGGAGAATGCAGCATGCTGGAAGATATCGACTTGCATGCTTGATAGACTTGTGTTACGACTAGAATTCCCCTTCACATATCAACATAAAGAAGGAAAAAAAAATAGAAAAACAAATAAGCATGTTCAAATGAAAGATGCGAAGATGAAATTCTGAGATTTAGTTTCATATGAACATACGTTTGACGCAGCTCGATAACAAATACTGTTTGTGTTGTGACACCCGAAATTCCTTGTTTAGATAATATACGAGCATGCATCATCATATATACACATCATTTGCAAATGTCAGCTTATTTAATTCATCGAGACGACTCGTTGTTCGTTTGAACAAAGTACTTGAACCCCAAAGGATCTTGTCCACTCGCCATTATTCGAAAGAATACGATGTACAATGTACTGAACAGTATGTCCGGAGGCATGATATTGCATGACATATTCCTCAACGCTTGGAATCCTCTTAGTAAATTAGTCAAGTTAGACATAACTAATCTGCTACTGTGATAAGAGGAAAAGAATGTCCATGAGCACATCCCCTCCGAAGTCCAAAATCAATTTTCCTTTGGGAGTCGAAACTGGAAACTCTGGTTCAGACTAGGTATAGAACTATGCTTCCAAATTGGACATAATTAACAATGTTTAAGAGCTGGGGACATCCAATTCCGCCATTAAACTGATGGAAAGAAAGATTGGTTTCAACTATATGAAATCCCCAGTTGTAATACAAAGAAGTCAAGTTCAGCAATTATACCTCACATCTGAATATTCTTCAAAGGAAAACCTCTCCCTCCCTCTCTGCGGTAAACCATGCTCACTAGGGGATCCGAGCAGCATTACAGAATTGACTTGGAAAGGATAACTTATGTACCAAGCAAGCAATCAGAAAAGCATCATAGCAAACTAAAACTTCAACTGGTAAGAGAAATCTTAAAACAGTATTATTGTCGTAGACAACCTTGTGCCAAAAATTTCAATACGTTTGTTGCACCAGGTTTAGCTGGGCCACCAGCTGCTAAACAGAGATTCACTATCTGAACCAGTTTAAATTTCTTAGATCGAATTCATTAGGCCGGTCGGACATAACAGATGAAGAAAAGAGGAGGGACGGGGAGGGGGTGCAGGCTATGCAATTTATACTCCTGCGTGTTTGCCTCGTTTTCACCCAATTAAGGGCAATACACAACTTTCCCTTCAAATGGAACGTGCAGCCATACAAGGCTAAAATTCTCAGGTAATATGGCTCCAATGTTCACTTAAGGTACACTCACTCTATGGTCGTAGATAAAAAAATTTATCGGGAAATTACGTCATATCGCCTTTTATTTGATAAAGAAAATAATAATCCGGTTTTTGTAGATGGTTATCATCAACTATAGTGCTCAATGTTCACTGAATGCAAAAACTTCGTCAGAATTTGATGGTTCATTGCGGACTGCTGCAAAGAACAATCAAGATCCCAATCTTTTGATGCATCTCTCTACACGCAAGAGCTGTCTGATGTAAAAGAACCGACCGGTCAAATTCCATGAAATTAAA